CCCCCCCCCACCAGGGCATCGGAATGCGCACTGCCTTTCTTCATAATATGCATTACCGTCGTGTTGCCGATACAGATATAGAGTGTGATGGGCAAATTCCCCTTGAAAGCGAGCAAGGCCAACCCGGCGGCCCTCGCTTCAGCCTGTGCCATAATATGGGGCGCTTTTTCCCACGCACCCCCTGTGGCCACACTTCCCCGCCACCCTTAAAGAACAGCGCGCCCCATCCATATAAAGAGGCGTCTGACACTAAAGTCCCTGAAGTCGGTTTATCCCTCGAGTGTTTTACCGGACTGTTCCGCAACAACGTATCCAACCATTCCTGCCCGACCTTAAGGGCAAAGGGGGGTAAAGCTGCCGGATCTTGGGCCCCGAACGACCCCATGCTGAGTCGCGGCAGCCTTCGGCGCGCCATTTTCAAAAAAGAAACAATGCAGAAAAAGCGAACCCACCTGAGCCCCGCCGCATACATCATACGTGACGTAAGGCTTTCCAATTCCTCCACCGAAATCTCGTGGAGGGGTGTGACTCCCCTCAATCTCCGTAGCGTTTTGTCACTGAGGGAAACCGTCCTAGCCGTGTGGTTGAAACAAACTCCTATGAATTCATAACGCGTTGTAAGGGTCCCGTGCCCTCCCACCGTCGCACCGCATCCGCGCATGTTTTCCATAATAGTGTTCCCCCACCACTCTACGCTTTTACGTGGCCCTGTGATACAAAGATTATCTATCCACACGTGAAGCGTTAGCTCCGGCGGGGCTGCGAACCGCGGTTTAACGACCTCGGGGTCACCGCCAAAACTCGTGTGATGGTATGCACGATTTCTGGACTACATTTATACCCCATGGGGAGTCGCGTGAACTCAACGAGCTCACCCTTTTCTGTCCGGCAACGGAAATTACCGCGCGCTTCGGCTGGCAAACCTACCTGGAAGAAAGATGCCTTTAAATCGAAAATGGCGGCTGTCTCATCGTAAACCGCGCCCAGGTACTGAGAAATACGCCCCAGAGGAACCAAAGCCTCGCAGCCCTCTTGTTCATTTTTGGCTTTTGGCCATGCTATGAAACGTCGCCGTGGCCCCGACGGTTTTTCCTCCACTACCGTAAAAGGCACAACCCACCCAGTAGTGGGTAGCTTTGGTGCGGTTTGAATAACCCCAGCTTTCTTCATAACCTGGGCGTCCTCCTCCGTCATCCTCAAGAGGGGCTCTCGTTCCCCTGCCCTGGAAAATGCTGGCTGTTGGACCAAGTCCCACACTGTGTTAAACCGTTTCAGAGCCGTAGGATTGAGCCGGCTCCGGACCCAGCGCAGTGAGAAAGTATCCACATCTACATTTTGTAACGGTAACTTGCTTTCACCGTTCTTATCGGCCACCCGCGTATGATGGGTACGTCGCAAAATGCTGTGCCCCTTAAAAAGCTGCCCATGCTCGTTTCTACTAACCGGATAGGCCCATGGAGACATCGCCCATGTGCCGACCCCGTCTACATATATGCCGTCAGGTGTGCGGATTTGTTCACCAGGGAGCCCCACGGCTCTATGTAGCGAGCTGTGCTGCGTGGTGGCTCTAGGGGGTCTTCGTGTTTCCCCAACTGGGCCAGTAGGCGAGGGTCGAGATCGCGTTCGATCACCGCTGCGGCTGCTTGCGCCAGTGCTCCTCTTTTGATGGAATGCGCTGTCATGCCGAATGGTCGGAGTACATTTTCCACCCCTCTTGTGGTTAGCGTTGTGAGCTTTTCCCTCTCCACACTTCCTTTGGTGACGCCCCTCACCCTCTTTGCACCTTACCCCCCGATAACCACGTACCGCGCCGCTCTGCGAGGGTCGATCTTGAAATCTTTTGGAGGGCCCCCCAATCTACAATAAGGGCCTCCTTGGTTTGAAGGTGGGGAATGGAATTCCCCTTCTGGAGTAGGGCGATTTCGCCCCATCGACTGGCTGCGTG